CAGGGGGATGCGCCTCCGCCCGGCCCGGATCAGGGGACGCGGGCACAGCGACCAGGCCGGCCCCCCCGCCGTCTGCTGCCGCTCGTCCCGCAGCACCGCGGCCGCCGAGCTCGGGGAGCGCCGCTGACCGGGGTCGCCCGCTCGGGCCCGGCTGGCCCCGCGGCGAGGGAGGCAGGGAGGGAGGGAAGGGGGCGCGCAGGTAGCGGGGCGACCGCGCCCCGGCCCGAGCCCCTGTGGGGGCGGGGGCCGTCGGGGCGGCCCGGCCTCCCCCCCTGCCCTCCCTTCCCCCGGCGCCCGCGGGGAGGATGGTGATGGTGCAGCCGCCCGCAGCCCCCGAGCCGGGCCGGGGCCGCCCTCCGCACGGGCTGAGGGGATGAGCCGTGCCCCGCCGGGGGGTCACTAGCGGAACCATGACCACTCCCGCCCTGCTGCCGCTCTCCGGGCGGAGGCTGCCCCCGCTCAACCTGGGGGCCTCCGCCTTCCCGCACCACAGGGCTACCTTGAGACTCTCGGAAAAATTTATCCTGCTCCTTATTCTTAGTGCCTTCATCACCCTGTGCTTCGGGGCGTTCTTCTTCCTCCCCGACTCCTCGAAGCACAAGCGCTTTGACCTGGGCTTGGAGGATGTGCTCATTCCCCACGTGGACACCAGCAAAGGGGGCAAGAACCTCGGCGGCTTCCTTATCCACGGGCAAGGGCACGACGAGCACCGGCACAGGTGGGTGCTCGCTCGCTGCTAAGGGAGCGGGATGGGTGACAGGGACATCCCTCAAAATAGCTCCTTCCCGCACTGCTGTCCCTCCTCTCACCGGCATCCTCGTGTCTTCCCAACGTGTGTCAACTTCTGAGCGCTAGCCCCGTGTCCTCCGGCTGCCATATGTAGCTGTGGCTCCATGTTTTCTTTCCCAGTGTGAATTTCGCCTTCTGGCGAGTGAGGGCTGGGAGAACAAATAATACGAGGTGTTCTCCAGTGACTGGTTTATTTTCTCACCAATTCCCTGCAGCAGCCATGGAAAGAAGGGGGTTAAGTTATGGGATTTGTGGAGACAGTATAAGTGACTGAAAAACTGCTGCATCTCTTCTATAGCTATKATGTGCTTACTCAAAACAGCTGCTTGTTGCTGAATAGTGCGCAAGAACTTTGATCTGAAAAAGACTTCATGCTGTCAGCCTGTGACGTTCAGGGGACAGAACTAGTGCAGATGGCACAATTGCCTTTTTCTGGCCCTTAAAATCACTTGCTCTCATGTTAATCCAAACGATTGAAGGTGCCGGTGGCTGACTTTCCTTAATTGTATTTGCCAGTGTAAAGAAATCCCAGATAAGTAAGAGTATCAAGGGTAGATCTGCTGTATCAACAGCTTTTTGGGGCCACCTAAAGCTTTGTATGATGCAAGCCTCTAAATGTTCAGGACATTSATGAAGTTAAGCATTCAAGACGGAGGTAGAAAACCTTAAATGTTGATTATACAGTCTGTTTGCTTCTAAAATACTTCARTTGCTTAAACCCTACCCTGCTGCCTGGATCTTAATGAAGCTGACATTTCTTTTCACTGTCAAAGATGTGTTACAATATGATAATGGGTGATAAAATACCTGCTTTTCTGTRCTCAAATTAGTAATACAGGGATTTTTAAAGAAAGGTTACTTATGCTGGTAATGTTCCTTTGAAAACAGCTTAAAATACATCTTATTGGCATAAGAATTATTTAAATATTATTTATATGAGATTAAAAGGAGAGCATTTAATTTAGTTATTTTTATTAATCTGTTATGAATTATGAAGAATACACGGATACTATGGTATTTTTCCTTAGGGCATCTCTGCTGTTTGGTATCTTGGGGCACTTAACATGAGCCCTTTCTCCCTATCTGAAAGGGCATGGGTACTTAATATTTAACAAGGACTTATTTTGTATGATGTTAATTGCTGGTGTGGTTAAATGCTGCATTAAACATAGGTTTAGGCAGTCTCTAATATGCCTTTGAAGTTCTTGTCTTTCACTATGTAGGTTTATTTTTTTTTGTGTGTGTGATCTTATTTCTTAGCTTCCCCAGTCCCTATGGCACATGCAGTCAAAATCAGTTTCTAAAATATAGGACAGATGCAGCAAAAAGAAGAGTTCAAAAATGTTCCAAACTCCAGCTGTGGCTGTTGTACCTTGTGTTGCCCAGTAGATGGGCTGGAGAAAAAAGGAGTCTGTTGATAGTGGTAGTTCACATGGATCCTTTCCAGATTCCCTCTTTAAGTGTAGTTTCTGAGGCCACAGCTTTAGGAATGAAGTACATATTTTTTTGTGTGTCACGTGTAGATAAACAGTAGTTTACAACTGTCGGACTAAATGCATTTTGGTTGTTTGGGATTTGTTCTTAAACAAAGTGGTTATTCTGACATCAGTTAACTCCCTTATGGTTCCTCTATTGCTGTGAATGTGTGTACCTCCAACCTGCCCTCCATCCAAAACATCCCTGTCATGCTTATTCTTTTTTTTATGGCCACATTTGAGTTATTTGAACAAGAAAAATGATTATTCCTGTTGTTTTAGGTTTGCAAATCAGGCATATCTTAACTACTTAAAAAAACCTGCCTGCTTAACTTGCTTGTAAGACCCTTGTGTGAATGTCACAATATGCATTGTGAAGCAAGGTTAAGTGCTTTACTTTTGAAGCAATTTCTTTGGCTGATTACCACATAGTTTTATCAAMGGGCTCTTTGCCATCAGCTTGGAGCTGATGTGGTTTCTTACCATAATATAAAACACATACTTCCATTTTCATTGCTGARTTCTTGCTCCTGGATTGCAGGGCCATTGATGGGTAGTATTTTGAGAAAGTGTAGGATTTCAGTGGTGAGCTCTGGATTACTTGTTGTCTCAGTTTGGGATGGAAAGTGTTTTTTTGCTTACTGTCAAGGGGCAAAGTCAAGCATCAGCTACTCTCTAAGTGTTGTTTTTTGGGTGTGCAGAGGAGTTATGGTRGAAAAGGTCAAGAGAAATGAACCTGATCCTGATGTGAAGGAGGATGCAGTCTAAAATGTGAAGTGTGAGGATGGATTGACAAGCTGTATTTTCTGAAATCGAGGGACTTCWGAACTAATTGGATCAAAGGTCATTCATTTGAAGTATACACTTGATTAGGAAATGACAGGTGTTTTGATTTAGTCACTGAAAAGGAAAGTGTTTCTTCTGTGAATGCTGGTWTTGATGTCTATCAAATGATAAAACACATCTTATTATGCTGTTCCCTTGATATATAGGCTGTAATATTTTAATACTCATTTTGCTCTACTCAAATTTTTAGTTTTGTAGGCTACTGGAAAATATTCATGTTTCTATCTTTCAAAAAATGCAGCAATGGTATGGGTAGAAAAATCATAGTACAACTATACTTTAGTGTTGGGTGTGCAAACAGTGGTTCCCACTGGAGTTTCTCTGTATTCCTARCATTGCTTTCCCATCTCTTCCCCTGGGCACCCTTGACATTCTTGAGTGCTTTTATTATTATTGTTACAGTGGTTACCCGTTGCTGACATTAACTTTGCATCTTCCATCAAACTGTTCTCTTTTCTGCTCCTGTCCCTGTTTTGTTTCCCCCTTCCAGGCAGAAAAGAGGGGAGGGGGTGTAGCCCTTCTCCCTTCCTGATGGTCTTAAATGTTTTTTSAAGAGTGACAGTGTTCTTGTCTATCTCCAGAGAAAAACACATTTCTTCTAAGRTGGTTAAAATCTGGAGTAAAACTGCAGTTTGTGTTTGGGAAATGGATGGGCTGTATTGCAAGATAATACTCACTTTCAGCTGCTCATTTCATCTGTAAGTTCTTCCTGCAGGGTAGWGCGTGGGGAATGAGTGAGTAATGTTGGGAAGGTGTGCCACAAATTTCTGCCWTTGAGAGGAGGGAGAGTGGAACAGACTAGTCCAGGACTTGGGAAGATATGTGCATACACACATTTAAAAAAATCAATTTAATTTCCTGAAGATGAATTTCTTTCCATTTCAAATAGGATATTGCAGAGATTCTGTAACGAGAGCTGCATGGTTTTGAAGACACGTCTTGCCAAACAAACTTGTGCAGCGCCCAAAATTCATTGCATGATTTTAGATAACTGTAATTTTTCTAAAACTTCTGCCACACATCTCTTGCCACACAAAAATACTTAAGGTGTTTCTTACTACAGCTTCTACTTTTCAAGTACCTGTGGTATTTCCTTCTTCAGYACCAGATCTAAAAGATGGTCCTGGAACTAAACCAAAACATTCTAACAGCTTCTTTGCATCCTAATGTAAATGAGTGAGAATGCAAATGCCCTATAATCTCCATGATGTCTCAGATTTTTAAAAATAGGATTATCTGCAATATGAAAATTGAGCAGACTTGTTTCTTTAATGAKGTGGCAAAGCAGCTGCTCTTTGTATTACTTTACAGAAGCTAAGGTCATTTCTGTGCTKAAGGTATATTAATCTTAGAGGCAACGAATAATGTAATTTTGTGAGCTCAGAGCTACTTTGTAACAGCATTTGGACTGTTGTTTCACCAACAGTTCAGTCTTTCAGAGCTTGGGAAGCTATCTTCAGCTGCTGAATTCCTGTGTATCACTTCAAGTCAAAATTTCTGTGTTTAAAAAACCAAACCCAGCATCCCTCAAGTCATCAGGTTGATAACAGCTGCTGCTGATGCAAGTGGCCACCTCAACAGCCTTGGCCTCTGCATGGCAGTGGCTACAGATCAGTTTAAATCACACTTTTGACGTTGTTTCTGGAAGGCTGAGGAATATTGACTGTTGTGTTATGCAAAGATGGAAGCTCTGCTGTCTGCTGTGATGATTTGTGGGTCAACAACTCTATGGCAATAGTCTTAAAAGTGCTCTTTTTTCTGTTGCTCAGTATGTGATTGTGTCTTTGGCCATAGCAGCTGCTGTGKCTATTCTTAGGAGGTGAAAGCAACAAAAATTACTCTGAGGTGCTTCGGTCTTAATTTCTTCTTCTAATTTCTGCAATTTTTAAAAAGAAACATAAAAAGCTTAATATSCTTCTTTTGAATCCCTTTATCTTCTCTCATCTATATGACTTAATTAGCCATAGTAAAAGTGGGCAGAGGAGATAATTTAGCTTCTATTGCTCAGTGGGATCAGTGTCTTCTGTCATCATCTGCCATGCCATTGAGTATAAAAGTGCATAAAACTCTTTGCTCTTCCTTTCCAACTTACTTGAGACATGGTTCATTAGTGTAATTAAGAGTATTTGCTCTTGTGATTCATGGAACCTGTTTTTTCCCGTGAAAAATCAGGAGACACTCTAATGTCTGCATCCCAGCTTGTATTCCATTCAATTTTTCAGTGCATGAGATCAAGCCTATCTTCAGAGCAGACTGCCCACCGTCTCTCTGAAGTGTGGGCGCTGATTTTAAGCAGAGATGCTTGATTTAGAAGGAAGGATTTTCTGGAATGCACCATGCAGGAAATGGTCCTCATGGTGACACCTCTGGAGCTGAAGAGAGCAGGATAATACATTCCAAATCAGAAACATCTTGTATGTCTGGGCAAAGTTGAGGTAACTGCCTGGTGTCAGTCTTCAGCTCCTGAAGCTTTTGCAAGAGACCCTCTTTATTTGGAGACCTTTTTCAGTCAGAGTTTTTAGTAGCCACGTGTTATTCTTTTCTCTGGAGTCTGTATTGAAAAGGGACTTGAGAGGTGATGCTGGTACTTGAAGAATTATGGGAGTTT